GTAACATGTCAGCGGATTCCAAGTGTCCTCAGAGTAAGAGGTAAAGGTCCAAAGACTCATTCAGCAAATTGTCCTGATTTCTGTGGTATTATACTGAGTCACGGTGTGGACTTGTAGGGAAAGCACCCTTGGATATTTTTTCATACAGTGTCTAAAATCAGCACTATAAAGTGATCATTCACAGCCTGTCCAGATAGCTCAGTTGGTTAGAGGGCATGGCTTCCAATCCACCCACCTGTGGTGCAGCAGGCTTAAGTTTTTGCTTTCTAGTTGTAAGTGCTCACTATTTGCACTTGGCATGTGTGGTCTGCAGTCCACTGCAGTAGCTGTGCTAAGCATCAGGTGATGGCAGATGCAGGGTGTTGTTGCAGAGCACTGTGGCACATTGAACTTTTGTCATCAAAATGTGTGGATGACCTACATTAGTCAATGAGATGTCAGTGTTCAAGGTTCACACAACAAGCACTGCTTAGCCTCATATCTGATCCTGAAAGTGCATTAATTGGAAAGGTTTGGATTGAATCATTTTTTAATTGGTAAAAGCATAGGCTAATTAGCAACCTTGTAAGGTAGGGTCATGCACAAACATCTTACTACATGCAGTCAAGCATGCATAAAAATCCATCTACTGACAGAGGCTCCTCATGGTCTATGAATGATAGCCATGCCAGACCTTGCTGTTTGTGCCAAACTCAGGCCAGTTTAGCTTGATCTAGATTTGTTTTATTGTTTTACACTCAGGGAGGTTATTAGAGCATTTTAACCTAAAATTAGTTTCATGAAATCATCGCTCCATGAAATACTTGCTGTTTGTGTGCTGAATTTGATTGTGACTCTGACCTTCCAAGTTTACAGCATACATGCACTGGACTTTTAGCAGCGATGATGCTGGTATGCTAGAAATGTTACACAACTATTTATTTTAAAATACATTTTGAACAGTTATCCTGCCATGAGGCTTGCCTCAGACACAAACAATAGGCCTTGTGCTTGACATACTCAGAGAAGCAGTGCAATCATTCGCAGCAATTTCAGTGGATGACCACATAATTCTGAGGAGCTCAAAGCTCCATTAGCTGAGCATAGAAATGCATGTTAAGTAACATATTATGTTTGAAAGATCATTGTAGGCAACATCACTTATGAGACATTTATTGAAAGCAAAAATGATGTGAAAATTCAGTAATTTTGCCTGGGCAGAGTTTGATGCATGTGTGCTAGGCTCAGAGTACTGATGTTGTGTGGGCAACTGGAGCAGGGGATGGGTATTATGCAGGTTTATCTAATCCCATCAAAAATGATCATATGCTTTTTTCTGCTATTGTGATATGCTAAGTCACAGAATCATGGCCTGTTCTGGACCAGTCCTCCACTCTGATGGGTCCATTGAATACTTCTGAAGAACCTTGAGCCCTGTCCATGATCTGAGCTGTGTTCTCTTATTTTATTTCAGTTATTTCTGTACCAGGGACTATCAGAGAGAACATGCTCCACTGTTTTCCACTGAAACAGATGCTCACCCATTATCCAGCATATATGTTAAGTAATGGTACAGGTCATCCTGTGCAAACAGTGCATCTTTGTGTTTATACTTACTGGTTCTAATCTGATAAGTGCATGGCCATTTATAAGACATGCTTTTGCAAAAAAAGCAATTATCCCTGTGTTATATTGTTGGAATGCTCAAGTGAGATGGATAGCAAATATTAAGCAACACCACAGTCAGCCTTTATTTGCTGGTCAGAGCAAGGAACCAGTTGTTTGCTGCTTTGCAGATTGGGATTTGGCAAGCAATTAGATACTGATAAGACCTTGAAGTCTGACTTTAATCATGTGATCTGTAACTGTTCAGGCATGATGTATGATCTGTAACTCTGTAAATGTGATTGTAATATATTACTGTGTTATCAGCAAAAATAATGTTTACCACTTAGATGGATGCATTCATATCAATAAGGCAATGATATGAAGCAATTTTCGGATGCGTTCAGTCTGCAATCAATCGCATGATTATTTGCGTGCAGATGAAGTAGATCACAACAAAAACCATGACTGCATTTTGTATCCTGTATCATCGAGGTGGCTGCATTTTGTGATAACCTGAACGACACAGGAGCAGACAACAAGTGTGAAATACTTGTTTTTTAAACAACTGTCATTTGCGATGTTGATGATGTGGCAGTGTAGCACCATCCCACTAACGAAGGCCGATGCCGCCCATCTGAAGCGAGCCCTCTTCGTCAGTGGCGCGGAAAAGGTGGCGCCACCGTCGGCGACCCGCTGACCTCAGCTGATGGAAGGCAGTGATCCTCTCTCAATGATGGCCGCCGTCGACGCAGCTGACGACCCTGAACAGGTCCTGTCCGACCATTGGGCGTGCTGCTGATGTTCTCCTAGCGTAGTCGATCGTGTATGCTGTACAGTGACAGCTCTCCTGTCGGGCTGTTGAGATTGACTGCCTTTGACAAAACCCAGTGCTCATTACTCCCCAGACAGGCTTTTCCCAAGTAACTTTATTGGATTTTGCATCCTTGGTTGATGTCAGTAACATGCAAAATTAAGTGTAGGATATATGACATGCCTCAAATCCCCATGATACGGACATGTGCAACGATAACTGATGTTGTGGAGACGTAGTCTGAAAATGAAAGAAGAGGCATAAATGCGACACCGAATAACCATATTGATGTTGAACTAACAAAAATTGACATGCAAATACACACCCATAATAGGAGATTTTATCTCGGAGACTTCGAGTATGTCATAGTGGCTTCAAGATTCCCTACTCGATCTGCACATAAATATGGAGTTTCGAGTTTGAGCTGATGGATTGTTTGCGATATCTAGGTGTCAAGTTGTTTTGGATCTGGTGATATTTGAAGTAGTGACATGATTCCCTAACCCTAGGTTTGATTCAAAACCGTTTGCTGTATTTATATGTGAACCTGATCCAGTGATGTGAACAGACAGGTGCCATCAGATATTAATGACATGTTGCGGGGTAAGGCAACTTGGATCAAGATTCAATCTCTAAACATCACATGCCAAAATAAAGGGAAAATTTTTCAATTTACTGTGCCGACAGCACTGGCGCTCCATCGAAGGAACTCATGTGTTGACCTTCAGATTATACAACTTGTACATGTGGTTGCGAGGCGCCGGCGAGCGTCATAGCTAAGCCGAGATCGCCGAAGTTAAACGTCATGTGACATACGTCCTCAGCCTGTCGAGATGTCAACGTGACGAGGTGGCGCACGACGATTGGCCGGCAGCACGGCGCGCATCTTGTCCCAGTTCACCACGTCCGAGCTGGTGACCGTCACCACCCTCGCGGGACAGCAGTGGTGACAAAACCGGTCAGTGGCAGTGGTGCCAACAATGCAACGTCGCTGTTCTACGATCTGGTGATGTTGCTAACCATTAGCACTTGTGTAATGCGCGGTAGCACCTACCCCTTATCAGGTCATCACAAATAATGTGCAACACATTTCTCTGTTCGAAAGCTAATGATGTCCCAGCCTTCTCTCCAGTATCAGTGTAATACCCCACCTATTCCATCTGCCCTCCCCCCCCCCTCTCTCTCCCCCGATCATTATATTGTTCTTCCTAATATGCACTGTTGCCTCTACCTCCCTCCCCCACCACTACGTGTAACGCCGTCCGTTTCTCAGTATTGGTGTACATGACCCCGTTCGTTCCTGAGTGTCGGTGCATGTGATCCCCGCCCGTTTAACATGACATGTACGACACCGACACTCAGGAACGGACGGGATCACATACGCCGACACTGATATGACCCCGTCCGTTCGTCAGTGTCGGCATAATATGATCCCATCGGTTCGTCAGTGTCGGTATATATGACGCGGGTCCTTTCATCAGTGTTGGTATATTGTGACCCCTTCCTTACCTCAGTGTTGGTATGTATGACCCGGTCCGTTCCTCAGTATCGGTATATTTGACCCGGTCTCGTCAGTGTCGGTATATATGACCCGGTCCGTCCCTCAGTATCGGTATGCATGATTCGGTCCGTTCGTCAGTATCGGTATATATGACCCTGTCCGTTCATCATATCGGTTATACATGACCCCATCGCTTCGTCCAGTATAGGCATATATGACCCCGTGCTGTTCGTCAGTATCGGTATATTGACCCCGTCTGTTCGTCAGTGTCGGTATATATGACCAGGTCCGTTCGTCAGTGTCGGTATATATGACCCGATCCGTTCCTCAGTATCGCTATAATATGACCCGGTTCGTTCGTCAGTGTTGGTATGCATGACCCGGTCCGTCAGTCGGTGTCGGTATATATGACCCTGTCTGTTCGTCATTAATCGGTGTATATGACCCGGTCTGTTCCTTAGTGCCGGTATAATATGACCCGGTCCGTTCCTCAGTATCGGTATATATAATCCGGTCCGTTCCCTCAGTGCCGGTGTATATGATCCCTTCCTTACCTCATTGTTGGTATATATGACCCGGTCTCGTCAGTGTCGTGATATATGACTCGGTCCGGTTCCTTAGTATCGTATATATGACCCGGTACCGCTTCTCAGTATGGGTATATATGACCCCGTCCGTTTCTCAGCGCCGGTGTATGTGACCCCATTCCTTACCTCAGTGTTGGCATAAATGACCCGGTCTCGTCAGTGTCGGTATATTTGACCCCGTCCGTTCGCGTCAGTGCCGGTATATATGACCCGGTCCGTTCCTCAGTATCGGTATATATGACCCGGTCCGTTCCTCAGTGTCGGTATATATGACCCTGTCTCGTCAGCGTTGGTATATATGACCCGGTCCGTTTCCTCAGTATCCGTATATATGACCCGGTCCGTTCCTCAGTATCGGTATATGTGACCCGGTCCGTTCCTCAATGTTGCTATATATGACCCGGTCCGTTCGTCAGTGTCGGTATATGTGACCCCGGTCCGTTCCTTAGTGTCTGTTTATTATGACCCGGTCCGTTCGTCAGTGTCGGTTTATATGACCCTGTCCGTTCGGTCAGTGTCGGTGCGGCCGACGGGGCGTGCTCAGGCGCGGGCGCGGCTGGCGCAGCTCGAGCCAGCCCCGGAGGACAGCACCGTCAGAGACCAGCTGACCCAGCACGAGGTCATAGGTGAGGGATCAGCTGACCCGAAACGAGGTCATAGATGAGGGATTAGCTGACCCGGCACGAGTTAACATGTGAGGGATCAACTGACCCAGGACGAGGTCATAGGTGAGGGATTATCTGACCCAGCACGAGGTCATAGGTGAGGGATCAGCTGACCCAGCACCAGGTCTTAGGTGAGCGGGCTGACCGCTGTTGTGTGGAACGCGGCGCCGTCTCGGCGGCTGGTACAGAGGTCACGAGGCTACGGGGCTGCTGCGAACGGTGTGGAGTAACCATATATATATATATATATATATATATATATATATATATATATATATATATATATACATACATACATACGTCTTACCGAATGCAATTTAGGACTTGCATCTTACTAAATGCAGCTTAGTACATGCATTTACTAAACATATATTAGTGGCATGCATATTACTAAATGCATCTTAGTACATACATCTTATGTAGTACATCTTACCACTCAATGTGTCAGAAAAGATAACCACCTATAAGTCCAAATGGACAAAGAAGCCTTTCTTCAGGCAATGAGGTTAATGGGGTGTCACTTTCTGGCATCAATAGGCTAGTTTCGTGACGTATCTCTATGTCAGGAGGACTGATGAGCGGCTCGGACGTGCAGTTGCTAGTGCTGCTGAATCATGACCTGTTGGTCACGTGGCCACTGATCCAACTGTGACGTATATTTTCATAAGTATTAACGTTTGTTGTATGATTTGAAGCGGCTTTTTCTAAAAGTAAACAATTTGCAGCACATTAGGGATAGCAATGTCTTGACTGTTACTCATGATCAGTAGGTTCATCATGATTCATGTCATTGGTACGACCCGTTCATGGCAGCGAATTATCGCCGGGCGATCGTGAAGTTGGCTTTTTACAACTTCACGGGCACACCCGACGCATCTGTCACCTGTGGGTGCGATCTGTTTCGCCGCCCCCCTCGCCGGTGCTCCCGACCAGTGACCCTGTCTGGCACTCAAGTTGCCGCGGTTCCTGCCCACAGCGCATACGAACCGCATGAAGAAGCAGCTGCAGGAGGCGTGGATGACGGACCAGCGGGTGCGCGCGCTCAAGCTGGTCATCCAGGTGGGCAGCGGCTCTGGGTCAGGTCACCTGGAGCTCCTGCAGCGCGTCCCGACATCCGTGGACGCACGCGGCAGTGGGCGTCGTGATAGGGATGGGAATCGTTAGCGACCAAAGGTGCAAAGGTGGTTAGTCTGGGGACGCGGGCCCCGGAACCTCTTGCCGCCCCTCTGCTGGCCGGCGCTTCGGTGCACGGTGTGTTCGAACCGCCGTTTGGTGTGGGAAAGGTCTTTGGTTCGGTTCTCAGCAGCTGGTGCTGACGCCGCCTCTGACAGACTCCGGTGACGTGACCTCATGACAAGTGACCTAGGAACGCACAGTGTGCGCACGGGGAGAGGCACACTTCGCCCGGCGCGTGCCTTGCTGGCAGTGCTGGCACCGAGGCGACGAATAATACCCGGGGATGCCCTTCACACTTGCTCGCTGTGGGCACATTCCATGTAGGATGCATCTATGATGCCTCTGGTTGTCCCGGTTATCCTGCGGTGAACCTTGCTTGTAGGCGACGACGGTTAGTCACGTCGGAGGCCACTGGGGCCGTGTCAACGTGGCAGACGTCACCGTCATTCTTGGAAACACCGCGTTTGTGTACATGGTGAAGTCTGTGATCGCGTGCAGGCGGATGTGGAGTGTGTGATCATCTGTAGCATGTGGTCATTTGTAGGCTGGGTGTAGAGTCTGTGATCATCTGTTTGGTAGATATGGAGTCTGTGATCATCTGTAGGCTGGTGTGGAGTCTGTGATCATCTGATGGCAAGTGTGGAGTTTGCGATCATCCTGTCGGCAGGTGTGGAGTCTGTGATCATCTATTGGCAGGTGTGGAGTCGTGATCATCTATTGGCAGGTGTGGATTAATGTGATCATCTGTTGGCAGGTGTGGAGTCTTTGTCATCTGGTAGGATGTGTCAAGTCTGTGGTCATATGTGCCGGATGTCAAGTCTGTGATCCTCTGTACTGGATGTCAAGTGTGCGATCATCTCTAGGCTGGAATGTCAAGTCTATGATCCTCTGTAGATTGGAGTCAAGGTGTGTGATCATTCCTGTAGCATGGATTGTCAAGTCTGTGATCCTCTGTAGCCTGGATGTCAAGTTTGTGATCATTGTAGCCGGAATGTCAAGTCTGTGATCATCTGTAGCCAGATGACAAGTCTGTGATCCTCTGTAGAGGGATTGCAAGTGTGTGATCATTGTAGATGGATGTCAAGTGTTGTGAATCATTGTTAGATGGATTGTCAAGTGTGTGATCTCTGTAGATGGAGGTTAGTGTGTTGATCATCTGTAGTCAGATGGCAAGTCTGTGGATCCTCTGTAGAGGGATGTCAATGTGGTGATCATCTGTGAGATGGATATCAAATGTGTGATCATATGTAGATGGATGTTAAGTGTGTGATCATCTGTAGGCGGATGTCAAGTGTGTGATCTCTGTAGGCGGATGTCAAGTGTGTGATCATCTGTAGGCGGATGTCAAGTGTGTGATCCTCTGTAGGCGGATGTCAAGGTGTGTGATCCTCTGTAGGCCGGATGTCAGGTGTGATCATCTGTAGGGATGTCAAGTGTGTGATCATCTGTAGGCGGATGTCAAGTGTGTGTCATCTGTAGCCGGATGTTAAGTGTGTGATCATCTGTAGGCGGATGTCAAGTGTGTGATCATCTGTAGGCGGATGTCAAGTGTGTGATCATCTGTAGGCAGATGTCAAGTGTGTGATCATCTGTAGGCGGAGACTGCAGCCGCGGCTTGTCTCCTCCATGTTATGTCACGACATGGGTGTTTGCGTGTATCACACGCTCTATCAGCAGTACCTCTCCGCCGCAGGCTTGCAAGATGCTGGAGGACGTGTCGGTACCGCAGTTCTACCCCAGCATGTTCGCCCTGGTCACCGACATCCTGGACGTCTTCGGCAACCTCGTCTACAACCGCGTCATCTCCAAGGACCGCGAGAACAGGTGAGGAAGAGGGGCAAATGGTTAAACTGTGCTGAAGGTCGGCGCTGCTGAAAACGGCGCTGAAGAGCGTGGGGTTACTGAGCTACTTCCACCTGGGGTATTGGTGCTGGTTGTTGACTTTCCTATTGCTGAGATTATTGAGGGCCTCTTGGGGCATTTTTCCTGAGGTCAGTGTGTGCAAACCGCGAGATATTGCGGTGGACAGTTGCTCTCCGTCCTGTTCAGAGTGTTACGGATATTGTTGAGTGTTCGAGCTACTGTTATTATGACTGCACATGTCGAGTTCCACCGAGCGTGCTCATACAGTATGAGTGCGTTTACAAATGAGTGGGATACTTGTCATTACCAGACGATTGGAATTTCTCCGCGCAAGCTACACTTGCGTGATCTACAAACTCTATTTTGTAGTATATACGTAAGGTATTTTCAAAAGATCACATCACAGTACCTGGAATTATCGACATTTGTGCTTGTTTTTCGCACGAACAGCGTTTTTTGGGTGTGCCGGCCAAACAAAAATGGTTGTCTTCTGTGCCTAGTCTCCAGTGACAGATATCAGTGGGCAGTTGGTGCAGAGAATGCCAATTTAAACAATCACTTGTTGCGTCTCCTGCCTTGTGGCGTAATTATACTATCACAGCGAAACAGCCCGGTAACCGTATCGTAACTGGCCGCCATTGCGCTTGTATCAAGGTGATCGGGCAGACCTGTGCTGGCTTAGACGGCGGGTCTGCTGACGAAGTTTGACATCGCCAGGTCGTGCCGAGTCATGGATGTATTCGGGATACATCGGCACATGTGGGTCCGTTGTAACCTGGCGGTATCGCGTGATGCCGGGGTTTATATGGGGAGACACATGCGTATGTGCCCGTCTGGATAGCCTCAGGGGTCCGATCGATATTTTGAACGATGTTTTTCGCCAGTGGGAGAAGGGGCCGTAGTGGTCAAGTGCTTAGCTCGTTGGACTCTCACACGAAGGTCCGGTTTTGAGTCCCGGTTGCGCAGTGCCCCCCCCCCCCCCCCTCCCCCGAACGCTGGTGTTGCCAGGGTGGTCGCTGACGCTTCAACAAAATCAACAAAAGGATGTGATGTGCTCGCTTCCCTTCGAAATAGGTGAACCATTTTGCTATTTAAGGATTGATGCAGATGTCATTTGTTTGTGACATAATCTTTTGATGGGTGGTATACTTGCCGGGACTGTGAACTTGGTCCGGTGTTTTCGTATCTACGCAATAGCTCGACCAGATGACTCTCCGGCCGTTGTTCGGAGACCCGCCTTGTTCCAGTCTTCCCGTTGTTCGGCGTTATAGAAAATCTGTGTCCAACAACTCTAAGGAGACTTTTCCGGTCGTAACGCACACATGGCTGAGCGCCGAACACGGTCCAGTCCTTGTTGGGGCGCGATAACGCCTCGCAACGGCCGAAGATGGATTGGTCGAAACGCTGCGCACATGCGGGGGCAACGGGCGGGGACCGTCATCCAAAGCTGGTGCCATCCGTGAAACTAGTACCAGCTCGTCTCAGCCGTCACATAGAGCTGCGCCTGGTTGCTGCGGAGACTGCGGCTGACCACGCCCCCCCCCCCCCTCCCCCTGTGACTGCCGTGCGTCGGGCCCCTCCGAGTCGAGCTGTGGCCACTGACGCCTGCCTCCCCCAGCGGTGCGACGGTGGTGCGGTCTGGTGCCGACTTGGTGAGGCGAGGGCGGGCCGCGAAACATGTCGCAACTGGTTCTACAAGATCTCCTCCATCCGCGAGCTCATGGCTCGGCTGTACGTGGAGATGGCCGTCTTGCGCTGCTACGACCTGCTCAAGCCCGGGTGAGGAAGCAGAAAGGCCGCTGAAGCCGCGCGAACTCGGCTAAGCCGGCGCCATCGTCCCGCACTACACTCGCAGCGGACGTCTGTCCTTCGAAGGCTTGCCGTTGTACCACTGTCTGTCTTGAGAGGTCTGACGTTGGACCACCGTCTGTCTTTAAGGCCTGTCGTTGTACCACCGTCTGTGTTGAGGAGCCTGACGTTAGACTGCCGTCTGTGTTGAGGAGCCTGACGTTAGACCGCCGTCTGTGTTGAGGAGCCTGACGTTAGAACCGCCGTCTGTGTTGAGGGACGTGACGTTGGACTGCCGTCTGTGTTGAGGGGCCTGACGTTGGGCTGCCGTCTGTGTTGAGGGGCCTGACGTTGGGCTGCCGTCTGTGTTGAGGGGCCTGACGTTGGACCGCCGTCTGTGTTAAGGGACCCGACGTTGGACCGCCGTCTGTGTCGAGGGGCCTGACGTTGGACCGCCGTCTGTGTTGAGGGGCCTGACATTAGACCGCCGTCTGTGTGGAGGGGCCTGACGTTGGACTGCCGTCTGTGTGAGGGGCCTGACGTTGGACCGCCGTCTGTGTTAAGGGGCCTGACGTTGGACCGCCGTCTGTGTTGTGAGGCCTGACGCTGCACCGCTGTCTGTGCGGCCGGAGGGCCGACGGCTGATGGTGTCCGTGTCTGGTGATGGCATTGACTCATGGCTGTCTAATGTTGTGCTGTTTTTTTCATCGGCACCATGTCTAATGCCGGTGTGCGACGTACGTTCGACGCCTGCTGTGTGGTGCGTGAGATCCACTCCGATGCCCGCCTCGGACCCCCCCCCAAGTCCAATGGCTGATGTCTGCGTATTTGTTGGCTTGTTGTATCAACTAGCGCATCCGACGCGATTGCTTATGTCCGTCTACCTCTCGTGTTTGTTTTCATGTCCGTGTTACATTCGTATAAAGGTTTACGTCTTGCGTCGGCTATTGAAGCTCGGCGTCCTATAGCCCACGCCTTCCAACGTCAGACGCCCCTCGTCCCATGTGTGACGCTGGACCCCGCTGACGTCGGAGCTGCCCGCCCCACACCGTCCACATGTCCCGTGTCTCACATCGAACAGCCAAATCCTCGCCCGCGTAACGCCTGCCTTTCTCTGGCCACCCAACCTCCCCACCTGGTGACCGTCTGATCCCCTGCTGGTGGCCGTCTGACCCCGGTCCGTGCGGTGCAGCGGCTCGGAGGAGGCGGCGCGCCGTTTGGTGACGGCTGTGCGGGGCCTGGCCTCACCGCTGGCGGCCGGCTACGCCCGCTGCTACCTGAGCCGGGTGGCGCCGGCCGCCGTCCGCGCGGACAACCTCGAAGACCTGCTCGCCGTCCTGCTGCACTGCGTGAGTCACGGACGGGTGGGGGAAGGGCAGAGTTGACGGGGGCGGTGGCAGCGGGCAGAGAGTTGACGGACGGGGCAGCGGGCGGATTGGCGTAATTGGCTGTTAGAGGGCGGTGAGCAAAAGCCTGACAGGCTGGAGGATAAAGGCCTGGAGATGATGAGCGGGCGGATGCTGGACGTGGTGACGACTGACATGTTCGTTGGTGGGTTCTGAGATCACGCACCTACAGCAGCGGGTGCGTGTTGCGGGGTGCGCTGCTCTGTGGTGTGTCGCTTCTGTGCATGTTTGTGGTGGGGGCCGGGAGAGCTGGCGGCCTCCATGTGGTGACAACATTTGTTGTGCTTTTGAGCGTGTGCGTGCGATCTAAATGCGACCTTGGGGATGAAGCTGATTAGGCCTCATTTGTAACCAAGCGAACTGGAGGCCCGACACTTAGTGACACTGGGATTTTAAGTGACATTGTGAATGTATTGCTATATTTTTTCCTGCAGTTTCTGTTCGTGCTTCGCGTGGATGTGATTCATCACATACATGCAACCGGCGCCGTCTTAAGTCGAAATACCTTTACTTTGCAATGCACTTTGGCAGCCGAAGATGGGAATTTCGGCGGTGAAAAGGACGCCATCGTCGCGGAGCGTCTCGCCGCCGCTTGGGCCCGCCATCCAGTGGTGCTTGCGCTCGGCTGTCGGCGCATGCGCACCAGACCGCCGCGGTCGCTTCCTGACCGAGCTGCTGCAGCGGCGTCCAATGCACAGCACGTGGGTACCGGGACACGAGGGCTTGTCGCGGCCGGCTGCGGGCAGCAGGCATACGCGCCTGGAGCCGATGTCGTCCGTAGTCGTCACCTTGCTGCCGTCTGGTGACTATGCTCGTCATTAGGCTGTTGTGTGGAAGGTCTACTAAGCTCGTTGGCTCGGGTTTTTTATGTAGGGCTCTCATTGCTCCGATCTTATGAGAAAAAGGGAAACTCATTTATCACTGCAAAGCTGAAACAAATGCTGCTAGATATACTGTGGACAAAACCACTCATTCGCCATTGTGCAGCTCGAACTGAGATGTGTTGGTAATCAGCCTGGATCACCGACTAGCCAGGGTTGACATATCCCGAAGCTGAATTCCCAGACCTGTGACGCGCCACAGCTCATACAGGTCCGGCGCCCGCAGCCGGGTGGGGCTGCGGATGTCGGCTGGCAGGCCAGGCCAGCCACTCGCCATTGGAAAGCCAACTGTGCTTCAGTTTGCGGGCTGTCGTCTGATTTCTGGCGGCTGCTCACTGTGACGAGCGGTGACGGTGTTGGCGTGTTGCCAGACTGCTGATGGCTCTGCTGCGATCGTCCGGGCTCGACCTGCTGACCTCCCACGCCGAGCTCTTCGTGTCGGCCGTGGCCGCCTGTGACGACGCATGTGAGCACCGCCGACGGCTGCAGGCCTCGGATTCGTCTGCCCAGGCTCCACCTCGCGGGCGACGTGCTTTTTCGAAATCAGTTGCGGAAAGTTGGAGTATGTTATCATTTGTCGTGCGCGTATCGACGGCACAAGCCTTGTTGCCGTCGCCAGCGGTAGTGCACCGAAGCACTGATCGAGGCACGGCCGGTTGGTTGGCCACATCACGGGCGCCGGATCAGCTGCAGTGTGTTCCATGCTCACGTGCCTCTCCTGTCATATAGTTTCTCTTCCTAGTCACCACCGGGTTATCCCCATGTACTCGGTGATTCCTTTCTACCATCGCTCCGTGCGCCCTCTTTCGGTAGAATGTCTTGCACTACGTATGTTGGTACTTTTCTCTCTTACTGTCTTCTTTATTCTTCCCTGCTCTTTCTTCTCTATGTTGCTGTCATTATGTCACAATGCCCTCTCCCCTCTCCTTTACCCTGTCCTCCACTCTCCCCTGCGTGCCGATTAATTCCCGTCGTCCTTTCCTGCCGGTCTCTTCTCCCCGGCCAGCTTTCACTGGCGGAGGCTCCAACCTTCCCGCTCCCCCGCCGTCCACCCTCTCCCCCCCCCCCCCCTCAGCTGTGCCTCCCTCCCGTGAGCGGTGCGTCTGACGTTACGCGGGTGGTGCGCCGTGCCAGGGCCGGGCCGCAGCGACTGGAGCTTCCCCGGCCACCGCCACTGTGACCTGCTGGCCGTGCTGGGCGGCCTGCTGACGGCCGGCCGACTGCCGGGCCCGGCGCCGCGTCACCTCTTCAGCGCCGTCTGGCCGCTCGTGCTGGCGCTGCCCACCACCGGCGAGTACATGCACTGTCTGCCGGAGTGGTGCGGCTTCGTCGCCAAGTACTTTCGGGGTGAGCGAGCGCCGCGGGCGAGCACCGTGGTGGGGGGGGGGGGGGGGGGGAGCGGTCGTGCTGTTGTGACCCTGCTTCGGGTGCGGAAGGTGGGTGTTTGGCGTCGCCCACCTCTCTTCTTTCGATGTTTCCCGTAAACAGTAAGGTATGGGCACCATATGACCATTATAGTCGGCGCGTTCCAAAGCCCAACTCTGTATATAATCATCATCACCATCATCATCACCATCATCATCGCTTCGACAGTGAGCGGCTTGATGGGCAGGCAGACGCGCACGCCGCCCTCACGGAGTCCCTCTCTAACATCAGTTTGTGCACTGGCTCGCACAGTTTTTGTCTTCCGCGTTTGTTCCCAGTGCTTGTTTGGTCCCAATCGCCCTGTTGTTCTGGTTTTGTGATTGGTTTCTCCTCAGATTCTGCATTTGTCCGGCCTGTGTTGTGGCTTTTGTATCACTACGGGCTGATTGGAACAGTTATCTAATCACGGACGGGTCAGCGAGCGGCCCGGCGGCTAGTAACGACGACCGCCCCCGGCCCCTATCGTGGTGGGACAGCCGGCGGCTGCTGGCTGACCGTGCTGGGCGCGCTGGGCGCTGCTGTCTGACCATGCTGGGCGCCGCTGGGCGTGCTGGGCGTGGACGCTGACCATATTGGGCGCTAACGCTGACCGGGCTGGGCGCTGCTGGTTGCCCTTGCTGACCGTGCTGGACGCTGACTTGGTCGTAGTGACGACTCTTTCCAATATGCTGGTCTGCCGCCCGGCCGGAGCAGCCTGACACTGAGTCAGTACGCTGGTGTGCCGCCCGGCCGGAGCAGCCGGACACTGAGCCAGTACGCTGGTCTGCCGCCCGGCCGGAGCAGCCTGACACTGAGCCAGTACGCTGGTCTGCCGCCCGGCCGGAGCAGCCTGACACTGAGTCAGTACGCTGGTGTGCCGCCCGGCCGGAGCAGCCTGACACTGAGTCAGTACGCTGGTCTGCCGCCCGGCCGGAGCAGCCGGACACTCCAGGCGGGCCCGAGACACTGGTTTGGCCAGTGCCGTGATGTCCCCGGTGTCGCCGTAAATATGAATGGTAATAGCAGCCGACCTTTCCGAGATGCTATCTGATGTCGCCTCTCTGTATTCAGAAGACGCGTTGTTCTGAGAGTGGCCCCGCCTTGCTTGCCATTATACTAGACTCACTTTGGAATGCCTTTTTATTTGAGTAAGCCGTC